TTTCTAGTTTAAGAGTTAAACTCTCTCCTATATGTAATAAACAATCAGTTCAAATATGTACACCTGAAGACGGATTATGAAATCCAGAAAGCGCTTGTGATCAATGAAATTTGGAAACTGCATTTTCTTTTTCTTTTATGAAGATTGAAACTGTACCTGCATGTAGAGTAAGCGCTCATTGCCTTTTAAGGCTCTTCAGACAGTTACAAAATTGAGAAAGCGCTTACAGTTAAAATGACTGTTCGAGTTGGCATATTTCATTAATAATGCTTCATGATAAATATACAGGTGGGAATCGTTACAGTTCATATATCTCATGAATCTTCAAAAATTAAATTCATTTCTTATATTAACATTATTTTTCTAATGAGTAGCTACAAATTTACGCCATTCAACTGTCATTTTTAAAGCAAAACAGTTTGCACTATAGTTTTACATCAAGCTTGGTATTGTGATGTGACAATGGAGATATTCATGCGCATCCATGGCAGTTTATGAGAAAATGAAAAATGCTCCTATTTACAAAGAATCTTAAGAAATTTTTTAAAAGATTAACCAATTAGTGATTCTATAATCGATCGCCATCCCTATAGATATAGAATATTTTATTATTATATTTATTAATATCATTATTTTACAATGTTCGCTGTCTTGATTAAAATCAATGTTAATGCTATTAATTTTAACAGGTAATCAAATAATATCCAAGTCAGTCTGTCATTGCTAAAAAAAATCTTATTGTAACTTAGAAGAAAGGGATGAGAGAGAGAGAGCAGTAAAATTAATCCCTTGGGATTAATTATCCTCATATCCTAGTCATTCTGTCATTGCTAAAAATATCTTTTGTAACTTAGAAGAAAAGGATGAGAGAGAGAGAGCAGTAAAATTAATCCCTTGGGATTAATTATCCTCCTTGCTGCAGAAAATTTAGGGGCTTATCTTTATCTGTCACTAGAAGATTAATAAAAACCTTAATTTGTCTGCAACTAATGTTTGTTTTTAAGTTTAGGTCAAGCCTGGATGATACAATGCACATGTAAAATCACTGAAACTAGCATTTTATAAAAGCATGCCTAAATCTTTTTTAAAAATACATGCAGTTATTATAATGTATGAGGTTTTCCCAGGGGTTTTGTGTAAATACAAGGTTTAACTATTTACAGGTGGTTTTTTTTAGGACCTTCAGGAATTATCTTGAAAATATAATATATATTTTTTTAAAAATTTGTAATCAAGTAAAACTCTTGTTCCATAAACTGCACCCTCTTATTTCTACCCCTCAGCGGGCCCTTGCTTTTACCTTCCCTTATTTCATTAATTAAAATTAAATGTCAATTCATAGTCAACAAATTGTCTCTATATATCCATAAAAAAGTCCCTTTTAACGGAGGGTTCTATTTTGTACATTGCAGGCAGTGGTTCTACAGCATGAATGAAATAATTTATCTGTAATTTTGTATTTTTAACTGGTATTTTACTAAAACACTTTTCATTGGAAAAGGGGTGAATATGTTTGAATTGTATTATTGAAACAGTTGTGGTTTTTTTTAGTGTCAAGAGATATGTCTAGCAGGCGACTCAAGGAGAAAGAGAGGCTTCGCAAAAGAAACAGTAGAATTTCTAACCAAGTATGTATTTTGTGTCCTACTTATAAGTATATGCATGCTTTTCTTTCTGCACCCAATGATATCAATAATTGTAAATTGGAAAAATTGATACTGATGCATGTCTCCAAGTTTGATTAATTTATCATGTAATCAATTAAATTTCCCTTTCACAGACAATTTAATCTAACACTCAATCACTTTTTCTCTTATAATTACATAGTGAATATGAATAATAATGTTGGACTCAAGATTATTGTGGTTTTTACAGATTTCTAATCAAGATAACATTAATGGATCTTCAGAACAGCAAAAAGATGAACATCCGGTTGTTATTACAGCAGCAGAGACTGGTTCTTGTAAAGAAAAACCTATCCATTCCCTACTCACTGAATTTTGTGGTCATAATAAGGTGAATTTTGTCTAATTATAATTGCTGTGATGAATTATGTTGAATTTCATATTATTTAAGGAGTAATTGAATTACAAGTAAGCTTTCTTGATTCAGTTCCTATTGATTTCATTGCCAAAAGCATGCACTATTTTTGTAAAAATATGTGTTCATATTTTCTAATGTTATAAAGAATGCAGTCAACATTGAAGTATTTGGTGTACCCATCAACTACAAAATACCAAAGACTGTGCAAAGGGAAAGAACTTCTGTTGGGAACACTGTGGATAAGGAGAAAGATGAGTCTTTACAAAGAGAAATAACTCCTATAACAAATATTGATCCTTTGGAGAAAAATGAGCAAATTTCAAAAAGAAAGGTAAACATATTCAACAATTATATAAAAAAAATTCTCTTTACTCTGTATGAATGTAAGTTAGCTATGTAAAAAAAACCCTTTTGACAAAATAAGCTAAAAAAAAGTTCTGTAAAACATATTTCTCATGTCATTTTTTTATTCACACAGAATTTATGCATGAAAGACCTTATGAGAAGAAAGAGAGATGATGTCATCTACAGACACAAAGAGCAAAAAAGAGATTTAAAACAAAAACAACACAAGAAAAATGAAGAATTAAAGAAAGGAAATAAAGTTTGCAAGCAAAAGGAGAGTTCTTTAAAAAGGAAATTAAAGAGAGCAGATAAAGATTACAGAAAAGCTGAACAAGAAAGAGACACATTACGGAGAAAAAAGTTAGAGAAAATCTCAACTACAGGACAGCTGAAAAAAACCGAGAAACATTACAAAAAAAATTGCATAGAAATAATCCAGAATATAGAATGTATGAACAGAAAAGAGACACTTTGCGGAGAAAAACAGTTAGAGAAAATCTCAACTACAGGACAGCTGAAAAAAAACGAGAAACATTACAAAGAAATTTGCATAGAAATAATTTAGAATATAGAATGGCTGAACAGGAAAGAGACACATTGCGAAGAAAAACAGTTAGAAAAAATCTCAACTACAGGACAGCTGAAAAAAACCGAGAAACATCACAAAGAAATTTGCATAGAAATAATCCAGAATATAGAATGGCTGAACAGGAAAGAGAAGCATTATGGAGAAAATTGCAAAGACGAAAACTAGAATATAAAGCAGTAGAAAAAAAGAGAGAAAAAAATGCAAAAAAAAGAAAACGAAGTGATCAAGACTTTAGAGAAAGAGAGAAAATAATGAATACAGGGTATCGAAGAGCAAAGAGAAGAGATCCTGTTTACAGAGCCAATGAAAGAGAAGGAAACACAAGAAGGACAGCCGAACAGGAAACATCTATTGACCAGTGCATTAGCAATTTTCATAGAGCAGTAGAACAAGGACCAGTGTACACTTGTACAAGCTGCCATCAACTCCTGTATAAGCACAGTGTTTGTAAATATTCAGGTGCTTTTTCCGATGACGACAAACAGAAGGATGCTGTTAGAAAATTGCTTGATATATGTCCACAAAAAGTCAGTGCTCCTGGAGAGGTTTGGGTGTGTAAAACATGTCAGTCACATATGAAAAAAGGCAAAATTCCACCATCATCAGTACTTAATAGGATGAACTTTCCAGATCAAGGCCCCCTCCATGACTTAAATCCTTTAGAACAAACATTGATTGCTGCAAGATTGCCTTTCATGAAAATTCATCAAGCACCCATAAGTAAACAACATTTTATCAATGGAAATGTTGTGATGGTACCAGCTGATGTTTCCAGCACAATTAAAAATCTTCCAAGGCTTCCCTCTGACACTGCTACAATAAAGGCCACTCTGAAGAGGAGACTGAGATACAAACATCATGTGTATTGTTTGAATATAAGACCAGAAGCTGTACGTGAAGCTGCAAAGTTTTTAGCTACAGCACCTTTATACAAGGAACATGGAATCTCGTTTGATGAAAGCTGGAATTGTGAAACTGAAATGGAAGCACAAAATATTGATATCAACATTCATAGTAATAGTGTCCCAGAATCCAACTCAGAAGATTGTCATACGCCACCTCCTTTACTTACTGATTCAAGGGAAAGCATGCAACTAGGCCTTGAAGATGCAAGAAAAGAGGATGAAAATTGTTCGTTGGAGGATGGCATCAATGATCCTGATGACGATGATAAATGGAGTGAGGTGGATATCTATGAATCAATGTGTGGTGAAGCAGACACACTTCTTACTGCACCAAGTTTTGTGGATCAATCAGAAATGGAGCAAGTCTACAACTACGCACCTGGAGAGGGAAGTATTCCAGTTAGCATATTTATGGAAAAAGACAGTGAAGAACTTGCATTTCCAGCCATTTTTTGTGGAAGAAGGCGTCCAAGTAATACAGAGAGACCAGTGAGGGTTACTTATGGAGAAATTGTTAAATCAGAGCTCAGAAATGTAGACAGACGAGCAGCCAGATCAGTGGAAAACCTGTTTTTTAAAACAAAGAAGATCCAAATGAAGACTTTGATAGATCAAACACAGATAGCCCTTAGAAAAGTAAAAACTAGCAACCATAGCCTTTCAGCTAAAGATGTAAAGGGGGATGCTGCATTGGATTTGATCCACCATGATAAGGCATACAAATTTCTCGCAAATATCAGGGGCTCTCCACCATATTTTGAAAAAGTTAGTAAGGATCTATTTGCCTTCATTCGAAATTTGGGTACAGCAACTTTCTTTCTTACCCTATCTGCAGCAGAGACAAAGTGGTATCATCTACTCAAGATACTTTCACAAGTTGTAGATGAAAAGATTCTCACAGATGATGAAGTTAGCCAACTAACATGGCCACAAAAGTGCCGTCTCATACAGTCAGATCCAATAACGTGTGCTCGTCACTTTGATTTCTCAGTGCAGAAGTTCCTGAATAAGTTCCTTTTAACAAAGGCTAACCCCTTATTTGAAATCACAGACTACTTCTATAGAGTGGAATACCAACAGAGAGGATCACCACATATCCACATGTTGTTGTGGTGCAAAAATGCCCCGAAGTATGGAGAGCACTCAGAGAGTGAAGTTTGTAATTTCATTGATGAATACATCACATGCAAAAAGCCAAATGAAGATGAGTCGATATTTGACCTTGTTCAGGTTCAGAAGCACAAACATAGCCACACATGCAAGAAGCGGAACAGGAAGATATGTAGGTTTAACTTTCCCAGACCTCCTATGAAGGCTACTGCTATCTTAGAACCACTGAAAACCCCAGAAATGTCAGAGGAAGACATACATATACACAAACAATCCTGGAATAAAATTCATGAGTATCTGCAAAATATTGATGAAAATGATGAAACAATTACCCATGAAGTACTTCTGTCCAGCCTAAGTATGACTGAAGAGGAATATGTATGTGCCATCAGAACATCTATAAAAGCAACTACTGTTTTCCTCAAGCGATCCCCACAGGAAATTCGTATCAACAATTACAACAGAGCTACTCTAGAGGCATGGCGTGCAAATATAGATGTTCAGTTTGTTCTAGATGTATATGCCTGTGCAACCTATGTGGCCTCTTATGTTACAAAGGCACAAAGGGGTATGAGTGAGCTACTAAGAAAAGCAACAGAAGAAGCAAGACAAGGGAATCAGTCTTTAAAACAGCAAGTTAGATGTGTTGGTAACAAGTTTCTGAATGCAGTAGAGCTGAGTGCCCAGGAAGCTGCCTATATATGTCTACAGCTACCAATGAAAAGAGCTTCAAGACAATGTATGTTCGTCAACACCAGTCCACCAGAAGAACGTGTTACCTTGTTGAAACCAGCCAAAATTCTTGATTCCTTAGATGATGAGGATGAGGATATAGAATGCTCCAATGTCCTCAAAAGGTATGGAGACAGACCACAGGAATTGGAAAATATCTGCTTAGCAGAATTTTGTGCCTGGTATACTGTGGAGGACACCAAAAAAAACATCTTCAAGAGGGTTCAGTAGAACTAAAACTGTAGACAATCTTCTCCCAGAACCAGTAGATGTAGAAAATGAAGATGAAGAAAGTAATGAAGAAGACCAAATTGCCAATAACACCACAAAGGCAGAAAAATACAGAAGAAGAAAAATTCCAAGAATTTTAAGAACAGTACACTTTAATCCAGAGAAAGACTCAGAGAAATATTATCGAGAGCTGGTAATGCTTTATTCTCCATGGAGAGATGAAGAAAAATTGCTTGGAAATTACAACTCCTTCAAAGGCAA